GAAATTTGATTTCCACACTTCAGACCATATATACAGCCACAGGGTTTCCATGGCTTGACTGCTTTAGAGCCTAATCCTGTTCCAGAATCTAAAAGGGGTTTTTATTTGTAATGATTTTGTAGAACTGAGGCTCTAATCTTTGACAGTATTATCTACCAATGTATAACAGGAAGTATTGTTTCCTCACTTACGTTTACATACCTGTTGAGGACTGAAGACTTTATACTTTCAGCCAACCACGTTAAAGTTGACAGTTTTTCAAAAACTTGTTTATTGGACTAATCTAGAGTAGATGGGTGGAAGCGCCATTGTAATAACAGCTCATTCCAAACCTAGATACCCAGCCAAAAATGTATAATTCAGGATTTGTTTGAACTGCATTTCTAACCCTAGTTTTAGAGTGGTAGCCGTGTAGTCTGTATCAGCAAAAACGACGACGAGTCCTTATGGCATCGTAGAGACTAACACATTTATTTGCACATAAGCTTTCGTGGGCTAAAATCCACGAAAGCTTATGCCCAAATAAATTTGATAGTCTCTAAGGTGCCACAAGGACTCCTCATTGTTTTAACCCTAGTTTTGTAACCCCAAACTTCTGTTGGCGTAAGTGGAAGTCTTAGGTGCATAAAAGATATCTTATCTCAATGGACAAGACTTTGGTCTAACCGTAAATCTGAAGTAACAAATTAAAATTATGCCTTTTTATATTTAAAGTAAACTATATTTTTCCTTGAGTCTTACATCAGTGTAACACCATTGATTTCTGGGGAGTTCTCCTGATTTACACCAGTGTAACTGAAAGGAAAATCAGTTCCATTTTTTTAAAGTTTGCCTAAAGAACATGTATTTCCTTAAGAAGGTTGAGAGCTAACTGAAACACTGAAATAAATCAGGCACTACTCTAACGCATTTATTTGTATTTAACTTGTAAAAAATACTGCCTGTCTTATTTGTAACCTTTCTTCAAGTTCTTAAGCTTAATTTTCTAGCAGTCTTGATTAAAGTACAGCCCATGAGATAACCAGATGTGCAATACTGTAGAAAAGTTGCTGGAGAACTAAACAAATATAATACAATCCTCACCAAAAAACAAACCAAAGGGCAATCACTTCCCAGTGACATCAGTGACACTTTTCAAATTAGGACAGCAAACAGGATTTGAGCCAAAGTTTGTTTTTTGTCTGTCTAGCTATTTATATGACAGTATGAGTGTCCCCATGGTGCTAGAACATGGGTGGGCAAACTTTTTGGCCCAAGGGCCACATCTGGGGATGGAAATTGTGTAGTGGGCCATGAATGCTCACAAAATTGAGGGCTGTGGTGTGGGGGGGAGAGGGGCTGAGGGCTCCAGCTTCGGGTGCAGGAGGAGGCTCCAGGCTGGGACCGAGGGATTCGGAGGGTGGGATGGGGATCAGGGCTGGGGCAGGGGCACGGGAGGGGGTCAGGGGTGCAGGCTCCGGGCAGTGCTTACCTCAAGCAACTCCCGGAAGCGGTGGTATGTCCCCCGCCCCCTCCGGCTCCTACGCAGAGGTGTGGCCAGGCAGCTCTGCGCGCTGCCCTGTCCGCAGGCGCTGTCCCTGCAGATCCCATTGGCTGCGGTTGCCAGCTAATGGGAGCTGCGGGAGCCACACGGCGCTACGGCACGCGCGGAGCAGAGCAAGTCCCCAATCCCACTCCTTGGTTGGAGCACCGGAGCGGGGCAAGACCTGGACCCCACTCTCTGGCAGGAACTTGAGGGCCTGATTAAAACGTCTGAAGGGCCAGATGCGGCCCCTAGGCTGTAGTTTGCCCATGCCTGTGCTAGAAGATGCACCTGAAACATTACTATAATGTCAGTCTTGAGTCTCTCCTGAGCAAAAACCACCAACCCTGTCTAATCTGGTGATGTGGAGATGAACTACTACAGACAAAAGCTCTTTCACACCACATGGCAGAGCAAGGTACTTGCACCTCCTAAAGCCAATCTAGTCCAAATGATGGTTATAAATGCACTGTAGAGGACGCTTCTGCATGGGTGGATGTGATGTGTGTACAGTTGTATGGGGGGGGTGCCACAAGGTGGTTAACATGACAGTTTTTAGACAGAGCCTTAATTTGTTTAAAATATGGCTACAGCCTTAGACCCTGATTTTGCACTGAGTAGCACAGTGATGCATCCCTTCACCCATGCACCTACATTGAAGTTAGTGAAGCTCCACAGAGAAGAGGAGGTGAGGGGAGTGGGTAGATGGGATTTAATAACTCAAACCGAAACACAGCTGCTTGAAGATGGCCCTGAATGCCATCAAAGTTAATAGGAGCTAGCACCTTACAGGATTGCATCCTCAGTGACATTTTAATATTAGAACTACTGCCATGTAAAAGTAATGCAGGTGTGGATCACTGCATAAACCATCCACTCTGTTTAAAAAGTAGTTATAGAGATGTGTATTAGATATTCCAGTACGAAGCCATTGATGAGTGTCTTATTTCCAGTAAGATGCAACATACATACATAACAAAATTAGAACAAATATTAAAAGGTGGATAAGCAGTTGTAGTGGGCATGTAATGGGGAAAAAGCTTTGAGATTTTACATTAATGCACACAGTGACAGTATATTCTATTATTTTAAAGAAAAACAGGACAAGATCTGAAGTGTTCATGCCTGAGCCCTGTGAGGAAGCTGACGTTCACATTAAAGTTCACATTAAAGTCCATGGGGAATTTTGCCTTGCCAGGGAGCTTGCTCAGAATAGGCAGCATCAGAACTTTCTGAAGAGGCACCCGGTGAAACCTATATACATGGGAGCACTAAAGAACTCTCAAAGTAAAAGGTGCCTTAAGTTCAATATGTAATCTAATACCCAGAAAGAGCTTTGCTTAGTTTTGAGCACTGGTCCTACTGTCAAGTCTTTGGCAAGCTAAAAATGCTCAGCTCTAATCTAAATCCCCTATCACATTTCCTTTGCAGTTCCTGGGCCAGCTCCCTTTATCAGTTGCTTTTAATTAGTTAACTCAGCTTTAAACCAGATCATCTATATGTAAGGAAACAGCTCACAACATTTTGCAAAGAGTAAAAAGAGAAGTAAATAATTTAGACCCTAACCAATATTCATGAAATGTAGACCCTAAACGGATGAACAAACTGCGGGTACTATCTGAAGTAACATTAATAACAACTGTGGTTTAATATTAAAGATAGGGGGAGTCTTGGAGACCCTCCAGATCTGTTCAATGCCCTATCCTCTGCACTAGTGGTAAGAGCTGGAGGAGATGCAGGGTTGGAGGCACCTAGTACTGGGTTAACAAAAGTGCCAGTGTCACCAGGTCCACACTGGGAAGGGGCCTATTACAGACCCCTCTAACCCATCCACAAGGCCAGGTCTGGACCCTCACGTGGGGCAGTCCAGCACCATGTCTTGATGTGTGAGCGGCTCACAGCCAGCAGATCCTGCTCGCCTATAGGGGGCTTGCCACCCAGCAGCCAGGCTTCACCATGTCGGGCTGGGCAGGACTGCTGGCTGCAGGGCCAGTGGGCTCTTGGGAATTGTCCCAGGGACCTGCCTCATTCCCTAGTGTGGCTCCAACTCCGAGCAGTCTCTGCTGCCCAGCACCTGCAGGGCGCCTAGCACCTGCAAGGCCCCCAGCTGCCTTCCCGGGGAACCAAGTTGGCTGGGACCTGTGCAGAGGCTGGTCTGGGCTTGGCCAGTGAGGGGGGAGGAAGAGTTTGGGGGTGGGGGGCCCTCGGGCAAGTCCCGCCAGGCAAGTGGATCCTGCTCCAGTCCGGCTGATCACACTGCTCCTGAGGGACCAAAGCAATGCAAAACCCGCCCCGCCCCGAGACCAGCCCTGACGCACTGCTTGGCTCAGCACAGCAGACAGTCACCTCCTAGTTAGGTGGGGGGAGGGGACAGGGTGTGGAGAAGTGGGTCTCTGGGGGGGTCTGTAGAGGCACTGGGCAGTGACGGGGTAGGGGATGCTGGGTAGTGGAGGAGGTTTGTATGTTTTGGGTGCTGGGCAGTGGAAGGCCTGTGGGGGATGGAGGAAGTCTGTGAGTGTTGAGGTGCTGGGCAGTGGGGGGGATCTGTCTAGGGCCCTGTGAAGTTGTGGGAGGGGCTGTAGAGGGAGGGCACTGGGGGCTCTGTGGGTGGGGAGATGGTATGCAGGGCACTGTGCAGTTGGGGGGGAGCTGGGCATGGGATCAATAGGGGTCTCAACAGTGGGGCATGGGATCTGTGGGGGATCTCCAGGCATAGGGGTCTGTGGAGGAGTCTCTGGGCAGGGGGTGGGAGGGCACTAAGGGGGTGGGGAGCACTCCACAGCGCAGGCTGCTCCCGAGGGGAAGGGGCACGCTGGCAATGCAGCAGGCCAGCCCAGTGTGCGTATGGTGGCTGCCGGTTTGTAAAGTGACCTCGCGCTGGGCATTTGTGCCTTGCCCCATGGCACCTCACTCCAGGGACCCTGCCCCTCCACACCAAACCCCACTGCCCCCATGGAGGCCCACAAATAGTTAATCAATCTGGCCCTAGGGAGGCACTTGCCGCAGATCATTACAGTCAGTCTGTTTTACAGTAAGGAAAGGGGATGGGTGTGTAGGCAGACAAGACATCCCATATTAGGGGTTTTGTCTTATATAGGCAACTGTACCCCTCCCCCCCCAATAAAAAGTGTCCTGACTTTCACACGTGCTAGCTAGTCACCCTATCGGTGCGGGAGAGGCTGGGGCAGGAGACACTGGCAAGGCGGGGAAGGAGGAGGCTCCCGCCAGCAGAAGCTGGGTGGGAGAAGGCTGGCTCAAGCCACCTGTGTCTGCCGCTGGCCCCGCTCTCTGGGTACGGCTGGTTGGACACCGTCACCAGCGGCTGTCCCGTACCAGCGGGCTCCGGCTAAGGGTTATTTAACTGCGCTGGAGATGTTGGGGCGCGGGCTGCCGCCCTCCCACCTAAGGTGCCACAAATACTCCTGTTCTTCCTCCCACCTTGCAGGCTCGGGATCCCCGCGGAGCGGGCCGCCCTTACCTTTCGGAAATAGCTGCCCTCCGCTTGCCGCGCCGCCCGGCAGCCCCGGGGCACCAAGGTGTCCGTCATGTCCCGCCTGCTGTGCCGCGCTCGCCTGACCCTGTGCGCGGAGCAACGCCCGGCCTGAGTGAATCCCGTCCCGCAGCCCAGCTCCACCCCCCGCACGGGGCGGGGCGGCTGAGTCAGCCCCCGACCCCGCCGCCGCGCCGCCCTGCCCTGCCCTGCCCAGCGTGTGTTGGGGCGGGGGAGGCGATGCGCCGGCGGGGACGGGGACTCCGCGACAAGCCACTTTCCCTGCCCCGCCGCCCCCCTCGCCTGATCTCCCCCGGCGCGGGATTCGCCCTGCCCCGGGCTATGCGAGTGGTGCCCTGAGGGTGGCATGGAGACCGTGAGGGCCTGTGCATTTCGTTGCCCCCTGATTTCCTTCGCTGTGACTTTCTGCGTGTGCCCTTGTGCTGCCACACCTACCCCCGGCGCGTTGTGTGCACGCAGGCTATAGGGAACGGGCAACACAAGTGCCCTCACCTCACCCAGAGCCTCCCTCCCGCTTGATTAACAGGGCAGCGCCCAGCCCGGTGCCTCGTTGTACTGGACCGGCGGGTGCCGTTTGCCTCGTTCCTCTCTTCCCCTAGTAAGAAGCAGGCTCCTGTGATTCTGTTTAGTAAAATCCCGGACCCTTTCTGCTCTGGATGCCCCACTCTCAGTCTTCCTTATGGCACCCAGTCTGCTGCTGTCTGGACATCTCTGCTGTGAAACGAATAATCCTTGGTGATGGCATATTATTATGTGGCCTCAGAAGACTTTATTCATGTTTGATGTATTTTCCCTGGTGCATTTTCCTTCCCATGCAATCGTGTTCAATTCCAGCCTTGAAAGCTGCAGGTGCGTCTATTTCATCAGCTCGCGTAGTTGGAGACAATGCCTTCCATTTGCCTGGAAATTGTCCCTGCAGGGAGCACTCTCCCCCTGGCGCCGGGAGCTGCTGGCTTTGTTTTCAAATACACATTGTCATACCAGTCTTCCTGGGGCCGTTTACTTCCCCTGATTTCTCTGTATTTGAAGCTTTCAACTCAAGAGATAATATGGTCACCATGGCTCATTACTCTTCTCCATGAGTGATTCATTCTTCAGCGCTTGGGGGAGTATTTACAAAATGCTGGTCAAGATAATTAATAGCAGGAAAGAATTACTGTATGTGCTGTGCACTTATGCACTCTGTTGCTTTCCTGTTAAAGCCCATTGTACAGCAAAATAATACAAATGATAACTCAGCAGCTAGGGGGGCAGGAACTGTTTTTATTTGTTCTTGTACAATCAGGCTCCATTATTTATTATTATGTATTTAGACTAAAGCAGTAGTTTTAGTACACCTCTGGAAATGGTTACACATTACACTTTTAAAAACAAATTCTTCCCAAATTGATATAATAAATTGTAACCTACATCTCAACCCTTTATCACCCAGAGGCAGCAGAAATCTGGGAAGAATTTTGACAAAATCTGTATTACTCAAAGAGCCTAGTTCTGCAGGCTTTACACAGACTAAAGGCCTCTCAAGTCAATGACAAAAAACCTAAGTAAACAATGCAAGATTGGACCCAAAATACTTGAACATTTTCCTCAAAATTGCAGAAATCTGCAGCACTTTAAATAAAAACCTGTCATCCTTCAAAAAAAAGTTCCATTGTATAACTGGTTTTATAGGTATTTTTGTTAGTCATATAAAGAAGTTTAAATATTAGATACCAAAATAATGTGCTCATTACTGCACAGTCCTGACCTACAGAGATCTGTGGAAATGTACTGATTAAAGATGCAATACATCAAAATACTTTATAATTAACTTTCCATGAGTAGAAGTGAGTGGTTTTTTTTCCAACAAATGCTCTGTAAGTTTAAAGTGTCTGGTAACCACAATCTTCAGAAAGAGGAGAGAAAATCTGCGGAGGCAAGTCCCCATTATCTAGGGAAAATATCTTTGGCGTTCTCTCTTCTTTTACTACAGCTGCATTTTTTTAAGATGCCAATGTTTGTAGAGTTATTTATGAGTTGTAGTCTGATAGGTTGTACATTTATTCTGTTCCCATGGAACTGAGATATGTTAGAAACAGCAGATCAAAAATTTGGATCTAAGGGCCCGATCCTGCCCCCGTTTAAATCCATCAGAATTTTGCCATGATTTCAATATATGAATTGCAACTACCTTTCACTAATCTGTCAGTTGTAGGTCCCATCCAAGTCAAAAGCAAAGCCAGACCCAGCTGTTTCATCTTTTTAACTGTCTTTGCTGCTTTTAAAATGTGTGTGACTTCCAGAAGCACTTTCCATTCAATTGACTGACTATTACTGGAATGTGATAAACTCATATGATGAATATAACTAATATAGTAATTTTCAATCTCTGAGCTCTGCGAGTCTTTTGAGTCTGCATTTCTTGTGGAAGTCACAAATTTGAAAAGTGCACCTTTGGAGAATCGCCCATCACACTTTCTCAACAAAAGATAAGAGAGAAAAGAGAAAGCAGATCTTGTGTCAAAGGCAGTCATAAAATAATGGTGATGAGATGTGTGGGAATTATTTTCAGAAGTTTGTAATAGTATTACATCAATACATGATGATACTGTGTCACGACAATGCAGCATCAATATGCAAAGATTGCCGCATAATCAGGATAATCCTTCCTGTGGCTTTTGTGAGACTCCACTCATTGACAAAATGACTTTCTAGTTCTGCAAGGCTGGGGATCACTGTTTTAATATGTTGTCCAGTGGATAGTAGAGCTGAGCAAATAATGGATTTTTCAGTTCGGAGTCTCCTGACCCAAAAAATCCAAAAAAGGTCAGTTAAATTTGAATTGAAATCCTTTTTTTTCACTGAGTTTTTGTTGAAACAAACTCAGGAAAAAAATTGTTCTGAGTTGACGCCAGTGATTTCAGTGGTATCAGTCGGGAAATTTTTAGCAGTGCATTTCAGAATCAGGCTCAGGAAGTTGGTGAAACATTCATGCAGAGAAGATTGGAAATAGATATTAATTATATACCAGCTTTGATTCTCTGAAACGTATATAGACTCACATCTGATTTTTTGGTTAAGTTAGCATCTCAGTATCTTCTTAAATGGGGCAATTTCAGGTAATTTAGTAATCCTGTTATTCTAAGGCCTGTATTTTAAATTGCCCAAGAAAACAAAAGTCTAACTCAGCCTGTTATTTAAAATTGTTTCTGAAAGTCAGCAAAAATTGTTTAAGTTAAAAGAACTCTAAGGGTCTTCAAGGCTCCTGGTAAAGTCATGGGTCAGCAGAACTAGCTGAAATAGGAGGAAAAGTTCATAGTTGAAATAACTGAAATGTGTTTTTAAAGGGTTAATTTTAATGGGTGAGGTTGCCACCTCTTCTTGGATACAGTTTATCTGAGGATTATTTAACTAAGTGGGAGCAGCAGGGACATGTGAACTGGAAGGAGCAAATTTTACCATGATGTCTGCCACCCTCACCATTTCCTAGGACCCTGGCATCCACCATGGCACTATTTGGGTCTTCATTCTCCTGATCCCACAAGACCAGAGCAGGCCAGAATAGGAACCAGATGACATCACCAACTCCACCAACTTCAGCTAAATCCTGAACAACACCTAGAATGTGATACTTGGATTCCTGCTTTCATCCCATCTCTAGTGTCATTTTCCTTCCCCACTGTGTTTGTTCTCTTTCCCAACTCTCTTCTTTTGTCTTCTGTCTAATAAGCTAGCAGCGAATATCTCCAACAGCCTGTGATGGGACATTAAGTGCGGAGGGCTCTGAGTTACTACAGAGAATTATTTCCCAGGTGTCTGGCTGATGGGTCTTGCCCACATGATCAGGGTCTAACTGATCACCATATTTGGGGTCAGGAAGGAATTTTCCCCTGGGTCAAATTGGCAGAGACCTTGGAGGTTTTTCTCATTCCTCTGCAGCATGGGTCACTTGCAGGTTTAAACTAGTGTAAATGGTGGATTCTCTGTAACTTGAAGTCTTTAAATCATGATTTCAGGACCTCAGTGACTCAGCCAGAGATTATGGGTCTATTACAGGAGTGGGTGGGCAGTGATGCTGAAACAATTTGTATAGTGAGGGATACTGAGAGCCATTGAACCAAACTGTAAACCAGGGGTAGTCAATAGGAGAACTGTGGGCCAAATCTGGACCGCCAGATGCTTCTGAACAGACCCCAAAATCTTATCGTTATTGTTGGATTTTTTAAAATTATTTTCTCTGTAGTCTGGGCCTTGGCTATACCTTGACCAAGAAATTTGGACTTTGAATAAAAATAATTGACTACCCCTTCTTTAAACCCTTCTTATGACAGAAATCACTTCAAGCCAGGAGGTGCTACTGCACTGAAGAAAAAAATGCTGTTTTAATTCGGATTCTTGTCATGTGTGACTAGAGAAATAGTCACACATTTTGAGGTTTCTCAAGCAAGCCTGTTGGAACATTAGATATGAAATTCGGGACCACTCAGAGGATTCAGGGGACCTGGGGCAAAGCAATATCGGGGGCCCCTTCCATTAAAAAAAAAGTTGCAATACTATAGAATGCTAAATTGCCCCACTTGCCCCCACCCCAGGCGGCCCTGATGAAATTCAGATATCTACACATCAGTGTTGCGGCTCTTCCGGACTGATATTCATAGTAGTTATATACAGACGAGTCTCATCTTATGCGGGGGTTCCGTTCCACGGTTAGCGCATAAAGTGAAAATCGCGTATAGTCAAAATTACATTGAGTTGAATGGTGGGCGGAATCGCCTGCAGTACAGGTACAGTATTAAAATTGTTATTTTTATCTTTTTTGCTTTTGTTTTTGTTTCTGACAACCACGTAAAGCTGAAATCGCGCATGTTAAATACGCGTAAGATGCGACAGACCTGTATATTTCTTTGAGAAGTAGCAAAGCTGTGTGTTCAGATTCCCAATAACACAAGTGGCTCCAGCACCTATGTGAGTGGGTGAGTGAGGTTCTGTGGCCTGCAACGTGCAGGGGGTCAGACTAGATTATCAGGATGGTGCCTTCTGGCCTTAAAGTCTATGAGTCTAAGGTCTTGGCTACACTTGCAGCTGTACAGCACTGTGAGGTAAACCTGTCTTCATACAGCTGAGTAGGGAAAAGCGCTGCAGTCTGTCCACA